AAAAAAAAAAAAAAAAAGAAACATGAAGAAAGCGACACCAAGCAACATGATCATTGAATTGCCCAGTGCTGCTGATGAGAGAAAATCTTAAAAGCAGAGAAAAAATAAAAAGAAACACTATGGACATACAGAGAAATACAGTTAAGGATAACTGTATTTTTTTGTTGTTGTTGTTGTTAGAGCAAAAATGTCGTCCAAAATGAGAGAATCAGATACATACCTTTTTAAGATCTGTCAAGACAGAAGACTTCTTTACCCAGGGAACTGCACCAGAAGAACAACTCTAAGGTTTTTCCTTCAGAGGGAAGGAAAATGAAGCCAGATGTAACTACAGATCTACATGAATGGGTGAAGAGTCCTGAAATCTGACTTGAGTGCTGGGAAGGAAGCTCACAAATGAGAAAGCCATCTCCCATTGTCTGACAAGAGGTAATGGAGAGGTCACAACCTGAAGCACGGATGCCCAAGACCAGCATCTGTCCTAGCAGAAGCCCCAGGTTTATGAATTCTGATTCCAATGGCTGCACAGTTTCACCATGTGGAAATTCTGTAACACAGGAATGTGGGCAGCAAATTAAAGTAATTTAGATGCTGCAAAGAATGAATTTCCATCAGCCTGTGAGGAGTTCTGTAGTGTCTTTGAGTATTATATTTTTAAAAGTGTTATTAATTTAGAAGTATGAGTGGGCCCACCACTGTGGGAGGTTGAGGTGGGCGGATCACGAGGTCAGGAGTTCAAGACCAGCTTGGCCAATATGGTGAAACCCCATCTCTACCAAAAATACAAAAAAAAATTAGATGGGTGTGGTGGCGAGCACCTGTAGTCCCAGCTACTCAGGAGGCTGAAGCAGAAGAATCTCTTGAACCCAGGAGACAGAGGTTGCAGTGAACTGAGATCACACCCTTGCACTCCAGCCTGGGAGACAGAGCGAGACTCCGTCTCAAAAACAAAAAATTATGAGTTGATTTCCCGTTATACAGAGAGACTTAAGTTACAATATGTTAATAAGTCTAGAAATGAAAAATCTTCCAGTAGTTGGATATTATGAAAAGGAATTGCCAAAAAGAAAAAAAGCAGTAGAACTTTAAGAGAGAAGAAAGAGAAGTTAGATGCGTAAAATACATTCAGCAGAGGTCTTATTAATTTCTTACCTATAATACTTGATGCCCTTCAGAATACGTAAGAATAAAAGTTTGAGGTTAATAAAATGCTTCCTCGGTTTTAGCGCCATAAATGGAAAATTAAGCTCTCATTTGCAAAGTGTCTTTTACTTCGATTCTCAAAATCATGTCAACATTAAAAAAAAAAAATCTTCACCTATGGAAAAGAGCCAGGATAGTTTTAATGTAATAGGGGACACACCAGATTCTACTTTTTAAATATCTCATGCAAGAGTATGCTGGGGTAGCAAGTAAATAAAATCTAATGTTCTGGAAAGATACATTCCTGCACACTTTCTGAGGTTAAAATCTCCAAAACTGACTCCTAAGCTATTTTTCAGTATGAGAAAGCTAAAGCATTCTTGTTTCTCATCCCCAAAACATGACTGTTTATATAATTTTTTAAAAGGGTATTAAATGTGACGTTGTTAAAACTTTCCCTGCCATTTCTTATTAAAATACATGATTTTCTCTGGTTATTTTTAGTTTTTAAAACACCTACATGTATGGGAAAAGGAAGCATAAGTACTAAAACATGGTACAAAAGTCCTGTAGTTGGAACAGCTGAGATTTTTGAAGTTCTGATTGAATTTTTTGTTAACTTTTTTGACAGTGGATTTCAGGCAGCTTTGTAGAAGCATTTTTCTTTGGTTCAGTTGTCTATTTTTAAGGCAATACATCAAATATCTCAAAGGTTATCCACTTAGTAATGAGGCTGTATAGAATTGATATTATTGTCATTCTGCTGGAATGCAAAGATATGAAGAGTGTGGATTATAAAGCATTATTTGCTTCAATCTATAATATGTAAGTAATATGAAGAAAACATTAGTATACAGTACAGAGTCGGCCAGAAGGCTAGTAGGGAATAAACACAATACTCTAAAAGATAATTGAAAACTGAACTATTCTCTAATTAAATGCTATACTTGTGGTGTCAGGAGTATTGGTGTCTGCCGGGTGCTGACCATCTGACAAAGACAGCACAGGAAAATTTTTCATGACAGCATCTCCTTTAATCCTCATTTCCATATTATTAAATAAGTATTTTAAGTCTGTTTTACAGAGTATGAAACTGATACTTACGTATTAACTTATCCAAAGTCGCACGGCCATCCGGCCACAAGTCTGTCTCACCTTCGAATCCTAGTTTTATTGCACATTTCTCAAATTTGACATCTTGGAATATCCTATTTTCCCCCTCCACCGTCCTATCATTTTGGTCTTAATTTCACCTGTCATGTAGATGATTGAATTGGTCTTGTTGTGGGTTTCTTTCAGGAATTGCAGTTTGAAAGGCTGACCCGAGAGCTGGAGGCTGAACGGCAGATCGTAGCCAGCCAGCTGGAGCGATGCAAGCTGGGGTCCGAGACTGGCAGCATGACCAGCATCAGGTACCGGCGCTGCTCTGTTCATTGTCTGTGCTTTGAGTTGCTGCTGCGAGTAAATCGTGCTGTTTCTCTTCTTTCCAACCCAGCGGTGGAGTTGGAACATTCATTCAAATGTTGGAAAGAAATTGTAACTGGCCTGATTTAAGATGTTTAGAAGGTGTCCAAAGTGTCCTGATTTGTACTTGAAACTCTTTTAACAAAATTAACGCTTGCCCTGAATGCAAATTATACGTAATTTTAGACAAAGGGAGGCTTTGCATTCAGCCAGCTTGCTGGAAATCAGGAATTGCCAAGTCACAGTCTCCCAGTTTGAGTCTTCTTTTTTTTTTTTTTTTCTAAATGATCCAGAGTTCCAGTTTCATGAAAGAAAAGTGAGAACATTCTGATGGAACCAGTATTGTTTGCTAATACATAATGCTGAGTTACAAAATTACCCCTTGAAGATTAGCCATATGTGCAATTCCCATGCCTAAAAATATTTACTCATTTATAAATATAAATGATTCTTCAATTAGTGATTAGCTTGAGATAATTAAACGTATATTTTTAAAACCTACACTTTTTAGCCACTTGACCACAAAATAAAATTATCTTCCTTAGAGCCAAGCTTTCGTAAGTATATGTGTGCATATGTGTGTGAAAGAGACATAGGTTTAACTTCCATTTTTCAAAAACGCTCTTGTTAAATGATCTGTTTTGGGCACTCTACTGCATTTTTAGGGAGGAAACCAAAGCTGCTATAGCAAATAAACTCCAACATTGCAGTGAACTTAACACATTAGTGGTTTGTTTCTCTCTAAGGTAGCTGCCTGAGGATACTTCCTCTGCATATAGTGACTCCGGACCTCTTTCTAACTTGATGGCCTTGGAATTGCATGGTCAGTTGCATCACTGCACTCAGAGTCCATTAGAGAATATCAGTCACATGACCCCTGATAGATGGAAGTGGGGCAGGGTCCTGGGGTCAGCAGCCAGTCTACAGAAGCAGGAACATGAACTTGGTGGACTCTTAGCCACCTGCTGCCGCAAAAGAATAAAAATATCTTTGTATGCGTTGCTCCAAAATATTTTATCTTTGTAAAAGTATAACTTTGTAATTGGAGCATTTCGTATTGGAGTCCCATGCTATTAAACTTTTAACATTGCTTAGTTTTTTTCTTTAAATAGAAAACACTGCACTCTGTGTTGTTAAGTGGGGTTAACCACATGGATGGAATATCATTTTTCATTACAAAACCTTATTTAGGATACGTGGAAGCATCTGCTTCTGCATCCAAATGTCTAGGTATATGTTGCTACAAATACGTATAACGTGGTGTGTTAAACTCATCACAGACTTGCCTGAACATCCAGATTAACCAAAGCAGGATGGATAATGAAAATGAAAAGTCAATTGTGTTCATTTGAAGCTGGTTTTGTAAGTTCGACTAATTGAAGTCGGTGAATTTAGGAAGAGAGAAAAATAACAGCTCTAAGTGTGTTTTTGCTTTACTACATCTAATTTTGTATATATGAAGTAGTTCCTGTTAAAGCTGAACCTCTGAAAAGCTAAGGCTGCCAGATTTTATAGGTCCACATGCACCATTGAATTGACATCCAGTTTGCTTTGAAGGCTGTTGTTTCACTATTGGTCTGGTTTACCTTTTCAATTCATGTTCCTAATCTTTCTGTGTGACATTTTTTCATGCTGTACACCTTTTACATGATTTCACCCAACCCCAGCTCCTGATAGGAGCAGGTCTAGGGAACTGTGTAGTAACCTGTGCATCAATTTCCACTTCCTGATTGGACCATAAATGGACCTGATCAGACTGTGAGTAACCGGGCTCTTACTCTGGAGGATATGAAATAAGCAACCCAAAATCTGTGATATACAATAGTGGGTGCTTGGCAATGGTGGCCATAGTGGCTTGTGTGCTACTGGAGGACTCTGCAGTGGCAGTGAGCCTCCCAACAGAGAAGCCATATGGTCCTGAAAGACAGTGAGACCGGTTTAGTTTTCATTAGGAAAACTTGCCTTTCGTATGTTACATTTCATGAAATCATCTGCTACCTTCCTAAAACCTGTCCCCTTCCATCATTTGATTTGTCTCAAGTTGATTTCATTTATTACATCCAAAGTGTCTTGTATAAAGTACATCAGTGAATTCCAGATTAGAAAGAAAAATTATACCATGACAACTTTTGGTTCTTTAGACTGTGTCTTGTATGTCTAGCTCACAGCTTATGGTACATAATCAATAAATCTGTGTTAAACCTGTGCTAAATAATAGTGTTGAATGAAGACACTGCCTGATTATTTCCATTTGCCATGTATAATATCAGTCTTCATCAAGCTTAATTATTTTTTATTTTGGAAATCTTTAATGTATGAATCCACATTTGTATAATACAAGCATTTACTGATACTTCTCTGGAGAACAGCCAATGCATAGTATAGCTTCCACTGTCTTTTTTTTTTTTTTTTTTTTTTTTTTTTTTTTTTTTTTTTTTTTTTTTTTTTTTTTTTTTTTTCATAACCTACTTGTTTGCTTGGCTTCAGCAATGCACCTTTAGAAATTCAAGTCTTCATTAAAGGTGATAGACTAACCTAGTTAGCACATCAAAAGGGATTTTTAAACAAAAATAGAATTTCAACAATTTTTTTTTTAAAAGAGGGCTATTTTAAAAGTCTCGTAATTGGTAATTTCGATGTTGATTCATGCCTCTCAATGATACTAGAGAGTGGGTAGAAGGGTTTCTTACAGGAAATGAAACAAAATCCAGTCACAATTGCCAGACATATTTGCATATAGCAGGTAGAAATGACTAATAAATATAATTGGGTTTTACCTCTGCCTTTGATGGTGATAGGAATTGCTCCATCTGACTCCCAAGATCTCTCTTTTTTTTCTCTTTGAGATGGACTCTGGCACTGTTGTCCATGCTGGAGTGCAACTGTGGCACAATCTGGGCTCACTGTAACCTCCCCCTCCCAGATTCAAGTGATTTTCCTGCCTCAGCCTCCTGAGTAGCTGGAATTACAGCAGGCATGCACTGCCACACTTGGCTTTTTAAATATTTTTGGTAGAGACAGGGTTTCACCATGTTGGCCAGGCTGGTCTCAAACTCCTGACCTCAAGTAATCCACCTGCTTTGGCCTTCCAAAGTGCTGGGACTACAGGAGGGAGCCACTGCACCCAGCTGAAGATCTCTTTCCAAGTAGTCACATCAACATTTCAATTAAAAGAAAATTGGTCAGTATGCATTTGAATTAGTCAACTTCCTAACAGTCCACCCAATAGTACAGGAGGATGCTAGGAATTTGGGGGACAAGGGATCTGGAGATATTTATTGTTGCAGCATATCAGCTTTTGCACTCACCTCTCTAGGTTATAACTACCTGCAAATGGGAACATTATGATCTCTTCATGTCTTCACAGACTTGCCTAAACAGATTTCAGGCCATTAAGTGATTGTCTAAGGGTTCTGAATCATCTGGAAAGAAGTTACTGGGGCTTTTCATTAGAGCTAAAGGTTTACTTTGTCTTGGCTTTCCTCACCCAGAACCTATTTTCAGATCAAAAAGCTATTGGATTCATCATTCCTTCAAATAAAGATTTTGGTTTCATTTTTTTCTTCATGATTCCCAAGAACTATCCAGACCGGAGGCAGGAACATGATATAGATGATGCTTTTTATTTAGGATCATGGTCAAGTCCTGCTTTATTTAAGAGGATAATGAAGTCCCTCTTGGTAGTAGCCACCCTTCACCTCTGGCCAGTACAATGATCTGGCTCATGCTGCACCCACGGCCCGTTCCTCAGTCTCTAGGCCTGTCAATGGGGTGTTATCTGGCAGCTCAGTGAGCCATTTAGTCCTCTTCCAGGTTGAGGCCCCTGCGTGGAGACCTGCCTGAGTCCTTGCCCTTGTCATGTTCTCCGTTGACCCCAAAACAGCATTCAGACTCATCCCTTTGCGTGTATTCAGCCCAAGTTCATCCTCCACATGGTGTGAGGTAGATCTGCAGGATACATAAAACAGAACCATGTCTGTGAAGGGTGCTTCCTCCACTTCTGCGATTCTATGAATGCACCATGGTTTCTCATTTCCGGGCCTATGATGCCTTCTTCCTAGAGTATTCTTCCTCTTTAGTGTGGGTTACCTCTTCCTATAGATCCAGTGACCCCAGCTCAGGGCTCCTGTCCTTCTGAATGTCTTTGCGATCAGCGCAGACTGGACTGTTTCTCTTCTTTGGCAGTCGTTGTAACTTAACAAAGCATCGGAGATGGGTTGGGGCTAATACTCCATTGACCCTTCTATACGTGCCCTGCCATAGGATGTTTTAACCTTTGGTCAAAGAATGGGTGGAGATCTCTCCAAGTATTAATGAAAATTTAAGGGCACCTAAATAGGTGCCTATTCATATTTCTTGATTTCCATAGGCATCAGTAACATGACGGTAGAGAAATGGAATTCAAATCACAGTCGGACCTCTCTTATGAACATCTCTTAAAGAGGCCTTGACTCTTGGAAGACTTATGATGATGATGATGATCAGGGTAATTTATGACCACAGTAACAATTACGAGGAGTGTGACTGACAGTCCTGTGGACTGCTCCTAAATGAGGTTTAACTCTTAGAAGACTTATGCTGATGAGAATGATGTTGATTTATGCAACAATAACAATTATAAAGAGTGAGGCCAACATTTCCTTAGTTTTTCCTGCGGGTTAGTACTCTTTGAAGAATTTTACATTTTGCCTCATTTCATGCTTATGGAAACCTTTTCAGTTAAGTGTCATCATCATCTCCACTTTGTCAATGAGGAAGCCACGGCAGAGCAAGCCAGGAAGAATGGGTCCTTGGGAGGACATGTAGGAGTCTGGCAATGTGGGCTACACTGAGCAAAGTAGGTGGAGGCCACAAGGGTTGGGGAATGAGCCACAGCATGAGGGTGAGCATGTCTGCAGATGGCCTCTGCAGCTGGGTCACTGGTAGTTTCAGGGCTTTGCTGAGGTAA